GAAAGACAGCACGTTCAGCAAATGGTGCTGGCAAAACTGGATCTCCACCTGTAGAAGACTGAAACTAAACCCCTATCTTTCACTTTGTACAAGTCAATTCCAAATGGATCAAAGACCTCAATGTAAAGCCTGAAACTCTGAAACTGTTAGAAGAAAATATTGGGAAAAACCTACAAGATATAGGTGTAGGACAGGATTTTCTAAACCGGACATCAATTGCTCAGGAAACAAGGGCAAGAATTGACAAATGGGACCTCATTAAACTAAAAATCTTCTGTACATCAAAGAAGGTATCCTAGTTTGTTCTTCATTGCTGCAACAAAATACTCTGACCACTACCAACTTGGGGAGGAAAGGGTTTATTTAGCTTACATATCCTGGGTCACAGTTTATCTGGGATCCCAAGGTAGGAACTCAGGGCAGGAACCTGGAGGCAGGAGCTGGAGCACAGGCCATGGAGGAATGCTGCTTACTGGCTTGTTCCTCTGGCCCCTGCTTGGCCTGCTTTCTTATGGAACACAGGCTCACCTGCCCAGGGGTGGCACCACCCAGAGTGGGCTGGGCCCTCCCACATCACTCATCATGAAGATGCCCCTCAGACATGGCCACAGGCCAGTCCAATAGAGGCAATTCCCCAATTGAGGCTCCCTCAACCCAAGTGTGTCAAGTTGACACCAAAGCTATCCATCACAGGAGGCAACCAGGGAAGTGAAAACCCCCAGAATGGGAGAAAATCTTCACCAGCGACACACCGGACAGAGGTTTGACATCCAGAATATATAATGAACTCAAAAAAACAGAGAATCAAGACAGGAAATAACCCAACTAAAAGATGGGCTAAGGAGGTGAACAGAGAGTTCTCAAAAGAAGAAGTAAAGATGGCTATGAAACATCTTAAAAGATGTTCAACATCACTAATAATTAGGAAAATGCAAATTAAAACCACTTTAAGATTTCATCTTACCCCAGTCAGACTGGCTAAGATCAAGAGAACAAATGATCCCAAATGTTGGAGAGGATGTGGGGAAAGGGGAACACTCATCCACTGCTGGTGGGGCTGCAAAATTGTTCAACCCCTATGGAAAGCAGTGTGGAGAACTCTTAAAAAACTACAAATGAACCTACCATTTGACCCACTCCTTGGCATATACCCAAGGATCTCATCCTATTGCAGAGACATTTGTATATCCATGTTTGTTGCTGCTCTTTTCGCAATATCTAAGAGATGGAAGCAACCTAAGTGTCCCTCAATTGACGAGTGGATAATGAAAATGTGGTTCATATATACGATGGAGTTTTACTCAGCAGTAAAGATGAAATCATGAAATTTTCAGGTAAATTGATGGAACTAGAAACTGTCATACTAAGTAACAGACTCAGAAAAAAAAAAAAAACGACATATGTTCTCCCGCATATGTGGATGCTAGAATCAAATCCTGATAAGTATGTATCCAGACATAACTACAGGAACCAGGCTAATGCAAAGGAACCAGGGAGGTAAAGGAAAAGAAAGAACCTGAAAGAGAAGAACAGTAGGAAACAGGCCTTAATAAGGGAGATATGGATAAAAATTGGGTTAGTTTAAGGGAGGGGGGAGGGAAGGGTATACAAGGAACCTAGGGGATAAAGGGAAAGGAGGAGCTCAAGAGAGGTAGGACCATAGGAGATGGGTATTATTAAGGGAGAAAGGGGGAAAATGGGGGCACCTTAATTTGGGAAACCATGATGGAGGAATGAGACAATGCCAGAGTTAAAAAATGCCTAGTTTTAAAAACCAGAGGGAACCATATTAGTCCAACAACCTACTGACAAATTATACATACCAGATCAAGAAATATATGTCTAGGCAAGGTTTATCTGAGAACGACTGATCTTTGCCCAATATTTATCTACATGGCACACAGTAATTAAAAGTACCAGACTGGTGGAACTAACCTTCTTGGATGTTTGGCAGACATACTTTGGGGCCTGTACTGATTTGGTCAGAGGGACATGAAGGACAGTTTTTGCTCCTTGCCCTCCTGGGTCAACTAGTTCCAGGGGACTATGAGCATCTCTCAAAATGTCCTGTAACTGTGGTGGGTCATCTGTCCTCTTGATCATGGAGGCTGTGGAGACCCCACGAGATGGACTTGAACCAGTGTCCAGTCTATAAAGAGGAGGGTCAATACAGAGGAAACATTTCCTCCATGCTTTCA